CTAAACTTTTGTCCCAAAGCAGACACAACTCTGGCCCAGGTTTGGACTATGGATGAGTGGGACTACAGGTCTTCTGAGGGCTTTCCCAGGTGGCATTGCCCCCTAGTCCTGCCTCCTCAGTTCAATCCCACCCCTCTCCCTGACACTGTTCCTGGGCCAGGCCTGAGCCTGCCCTGAAGGCTCTCCCAGCTGTCCTGATGTCCCCTCTGGGCTCTGCAGACACTCTCCCTTTCCACCCCTGGAGGCCTTGTCTGGGCGCCAGTCCCTCCTCCTCCAGAGGCGTCCCCAGACATCACCCTTTGCTATTCTCTTTTCCTGACAACTGTGGCATCAAATGTCAACCAGGCTCTGCTCAGCCTTAATAGCTATTTAGGGGAAGGTCTTCTCAAGCCCCCCATGAGGGGCTAGCAATGTTTGGTTGGGTCTCACTCTGTTCCTGACTCAATGTGCTGGCCTGAGTTCTTCCTCTCTGGACCTCAGTTTCTATGAGCTTGTCGCAGGGAGGCAGCCCTCTGCCTTTCCCGGGGTGGTATGAGGGGCACTGGACACAGGAAGGCCCTTTGGGGATACTGGGCAAGTGGCAGTGTCCTCTCCCCAGAGCTGACTTACTTCCAGGTGGGCTCTAGGAAGAGACTTCTTAGGGAAGCAGAGCAGCTGTGCCCATCAGGCCCTGTAGAACCCTGTCTTCCTGTCCTCACTTGCCCTGCGTGAGCCGGACGAGCTGGCACCGAGCACTGGGGAAGCAGGGTTTGGCGGGCCCTGACAGCTCAGCAGTGGCAGCAGAGTGGTAGCAGTGGGAGCTGTGGCAGGCAGGGGCTATTCTGAGAGCTGGGAGGGGCTGGGGCTCTGAGGCTGGAGGAGGGGCAGCAGCCAGGGAGGAGACAGTCCTGGGGTGGGGTGCGGCGTGCCAATGGCATTGGAAGAATTATATGGTGTGTGTCCATTATTATTGGGAGGGAGCAGACCAGTCAAGGTCTTGTGGTGTGTGCTGGGATTTTTCTGGGTGTTATGTGCACATGCTTTGTGATCCAAGAATGAGCTGAGTGGATGAAGCACACAGTTGTAAGTGTGTGAAAGACAAGTGTGCATGCATTGAAAAGTGAATGTGTTTAAGTGCACTGAAGGAAGGTGTGCGCAGCAGCCAGTGTGTCTGTATAGCGAAGGAAGAGGGGGTGTGAAAGGGTAAGCAAGTGGGGGAATATGGGAGAGCCAGGGAGAGGATATCAGCACAAGCCCACTGTTGGAAGAAGGTGTGGGTCTCTGGTGGGATGCAAGGCTAGGAGACATCTGCAAGTGTGCATGGTGAGAGCACGTCAGACTGTAGGAAGGGAAGATGCGTGTGAGCAACAACAAAAGTAATCATAACAGATAGTATGTTTTGAGCACTGACTTGTGGTCTGGTATTGCTGTCCATAATTTTATTTAATTCTTCAACGGTCTATATGAACTAAGGGCTATTATGGTACCTATTTATAGATGAGGGAACAGTGGCTTTGAGCAATTAAGCAACTTAATCATTAGACTCTACTGTCTCTTATGGACTGTGTGAGCAGGGGTCAAGTTGTGAGTGAAGAAGCACATCATTGTGCACTTGTGGGTATGACTTTGTGCATAGATGGGAGCATGGGGGCTGAATGTGCTGATCTGGGTCCCAGAAAAGAGTTCAGGCAGCAGCTGTTGACACTGGTGGGACAGGAGTCAGAGCAGAGCCTGAGTCAGGCTCCAGGGCATCTTTGCCAACAAGGATTCCCAGCCCTGCAGTGGCAAGCCAAGTAGGCAGATGGGGCCACAACCACCAGCTCAAGACCCTCTCAGCTCTACTATGGTCTCAGGAGGTCACATCTCACAATTAGGTTGACCAAGGTTGAACATTGGCAGGAGGCTTGCCAGGCCTCCAGGGTACCTGAGGGAGCAGCTCTCAGTGTGTGGGTTCCCTAGTTGTGGGGGGGGGGGGGTGCATATGAGAGCGGGAGAGGAAGTCCAGCAGTGATTTCAAGCTCCTTGTAACTCTAAACAAACACCTGGAGGGTGTTTGTGTATGGAGGTGATGGGGAGAGCCTACGGCTCCTATGCTTGCCCTCACCTTTGAGTTGTGGCATCTGCAAGCTGGCTGGTTCTCACCCTGAGGGATCACCTTCATCCTTGGTCATACTCCTTGGAACTTAAGCGGAAAGAAAGGCATTTCTACTGGGGAAAGAGAGTTGTATTATGGGCCCTGGGCCCAGACGTCCCCATGGTCCAGAGAATTTACATCTCCTGCCCTGCAAATTCCATTCTATATCTCTGCCGGAGTAAGGCAGTGGCCGGGTAAGGGGATCAGAGTTTGGGATTGTAGCACTGGCAATCCCAGCCATTTAGCCAAGTCACTTCCTTGTTTGGAGCCTCAGTTTCCTCACTGGCAAAATAGAAATACTGTGCTAAATGACACAAGGTTTGGCTGACCCAGCAGCAAGTGGTCTGGACAAGCCTGGATAAGTAATCATTTAAGCTGAGCTATAAAGAAAAGGAACATCTCAGATGAGCAACTTGGAGAGGAGAACAGATGTACTAGGTAGCTGGGATACACTGAGCAAAGACTGGGGAGAGGCGAGGCAGCTGGAAATCTAGCCCAACCTCTCAGTCAGCCTCTACCTTCTGGGGTTATGTAATGATCTGATTAACACATCTGCCTCCACCAGCTCTTTCCATAGTGCCCTGGGCAGAGAGTGGGGTATCAGTCCTCCCCGAAAGACCCAACCCACTGCCATTGAATTGATTCTGACTCATAGCAGCCCTGTATAGGGTTTCTAAAGCTGAAATCTTTACAGGAGCAGAAAAACTCATCTTTTCCCGGGAGCTGCTGGTGGGTTTGAATTGCTGACCTTTTTGGTTAGCAGTCCAGTGTTTATCCTACAGTGCCACCAGGGCTCCTTTGAGATATCAAAGCGACCCTATCCACAAGGGAACGAAACACTGTCTGACCCTGCACCAGCCTCACGACTGTTGTTATGTTCGAATCCATTGTTACTGCCACTGAGTTAATCTATTTTGTTGGGGGCTCTTCCTCTTTTTTTGCTGACTTCACTTTTCCAAGCATGACGTCCTTCTCCAGGTACGGTCCCTTCTGATAATATGTCCAAAGTACAAGAGACGAAGTCTCACTATTCTCACTTCCTAGGAACACTCTGGTTGTAGTTCTTTCAAAACAAATTTGTTTGCTTTCCTGGCAGTCCATGGTACTTTCAATATTCTTTGCCAACACCATAATTCAAATGCATCAGTTCTAGGGTCTTGGTCTTCCTTATTCAATGTCCACCTTTCACATGCATATGTTGTTGATGTTGTTAATTGCCGTGGAGGAGTCGGTTCCAACCCACAGCAACCCTGCACAGGGTTTCCAAGGAACAGCTGGTGTTTGAACTGTCGACCTTGCGGTTCAAACTGACTTTGCAGTCCAGCGCATTATAACCCGCAGCGCCACACCATGGTTTGTTCTCAGGTGCACCTTAGTCCTCAAACTGATGATGTCATTGTTCTTGAACACTTTATAAAGGTCTTTTACAACTGTGGTTTTTAAAAATTTAGTCCCAGGTACATCACCTGGGAACTTGTTAAAAATGCAGTCTCAGACCCCAATCTAGACCTACTAAATCAGAGACTCTTTGGTTGGGATACAGCAATTTGTTTCGTCAAGTCTCCAAGGTGATTCTGCTATACAAAACCCCTAGAGGACCCTTTTGCAGATGAGGAAGATAAAATTGTGACAAAGCCTGATCTACCCCCACTGCCTGCGAGTCCGTTCAGACTCATAGTGACTCTATTGGACAGATGAGAACTGCTCCCTAGGATTTCTGAGGCTGCAAATCCTTAAGGGAGCAGACAGCCTCATCTTTCTCCCACAGAGAGGCTGGTGGGCTTTTGAACCGCGAACCTTGCAGTTAGCAGCATAAAGCTTAACCCACTATGCCATCAGGGTTCTTAAAGTCTGACCTAAAACTCAGGTATTCTCTACCCTCTCCTTCACCCCAGTCCAGTATAGGCCACAAAGGAGTGTCCTACTAACCACCCCGTCAAGTCCTTGGAATGAAGACAGAGAAACACCAAGGGTCTAAAAACAAGGGGCGGGGCATTTTTCCCGGGGAGTAGAAGGCGGGGCCAATGCTCTGAGCCCCGCCCCAGCCCCGTTGCCCCGGGAAACCCCGGGTTGTAACAATAACCCGCTGACGCGCTTCTGGGTGGGATCTTATTGAGTCCATGGGCGGGGCAGCCCTGTCTCGGGCCAATGGGAGAGTTCGGGCTCTGTCCCCGGCGCCCCCCTTCCTGAGCACCCAGCAGGGGGCGGGGTCGTCGCCCAGCGCTCCTCCCCTGCTCCGTAGGCGGCGCTGTTGCTTGCAGGGGCTGCTTCGGGGGTAGTCTGTGCTGACAGCTCCGCACCCCTACCCTCAGTCCGTGGGCAGCGCACTGGGCGGGCGGAGGATTCCGCGGCCGCGGGCGTGCACGCCCCGCCCCTCCTCGCCGGATCCGCCCCCTCCTCGTCCCCCGCCCATCCCGAGGTGCTGCCGGCGCTAAGCGCGGCGGGCGCGGGAGCTGGCGCTGGAGCCCGAGCGGCGGCGGCATTCACGGGGCGGCGGCGGCGCAGACTCCGGCACGGGCTCGGGCTCCGGCATGGTGCATTCCGGCCTCGTCCCGGGAGAGCGTGGCCCGCGCGCGGGGCCGGCGCCTGGGGAGTGGCGGCAGCGGCGGTGGCGGTGGCGGCTGCAGGCGCAGGCAGGCGGCAGGTGCTAGAAGCGGCGCTGGGCGAGGTGTGCGCCCGCTGGGCTTCCGGGCCGCCGCCCCCTCACTCTCCCCGTCTTACTCTGCTTTCGTGCTCCCCAGCGCGCCCCGGTCCATGGCGCCCCGCGGTTAAGCCGGCGCCGCCAGGGACCCCTCCCGCGGGCCTCTCCGGGGCGCGCAGATCCCGGAGCCGCCCGCCCACCCTCCACGGAGCCTCCCTCTCCTCTTTGCCGGAGCCCGGCGGGACCATGGCTGCGAAGCTGCGAGCGCATCAGGTGGACGTGGACCCTGACTTCGCGCCGCAGAGCCGGCCGCGCTCGTGTACCTGGCCCCTGCCGCAACCCGACTTGGCCGGCGACGAGGACGGAGCGCTGGGTGCAGGGGTGGCTGAGGGCGCCGAAGACTGCGGGCCGGAGCGTCGGGCGACAGCCCCGGCAATGGCCCCGGCACAGCCACTGGGCGCAGAGGTCGGACCGATGCGGAAAGCAAAAAGCTCCCGGCGGAACGCGTGGGGAAACCTGTCCTACGCCGACCTCATCACCAAAGCCATCGAGAGCGCCCCGGACAAGCGGCTCACGCTCTCACAGATCTACGACTGGATGGTCCGTTACGTGCCCTACTTCAAGGATAAAGGCGACAGCAACAGCTCGGCTGGCTGGAAGGTGGGGACGTCCGTCTGGGAAGGGAGCTAGGGACACCGGCTATAGCTTCCAGGGGCCTGAAATGTGCGCCTGGGCGTGAGGCGGGCCTTTGGGAGGTCCTCAGGGGCGCCCCCAGGGGTCACGGAGTGTGGGACTGGCCGTCGGACGGGCAGGGGCGTGTAGGGAGCAGCTGTGTAAGGGAGGTCAGCTGGGGCAACAAGGGACTGCCGCTTTGAGGCACTCCCTCGGGCTCTGGTCTTGTAACATCCGAATCCTGTCCTTGAGGGCATAGCTGAGGAACATTGAGGGACCTAGTTACCCTGTTGAGTTCGCTTTGTGTTACTCTTGTGTTACCCTTGCCCCCAGAGCACCCTCTTAAATAGCTGGAATCACGACTTGGGGCCAATGGCTGCTTCTCCATCCCCGCCCCCCAAATCCTTCCCACTGCCCTCCCTGGAGCTGGCCCCCAGGACGCAGTGTGACCCTGGGTCCACAGTTCTTCCTGTGGCACAAGAGTTCATATTAAATGGGCACCATCCTACCTGGGGTGGGAGAACTCTGTCAGGTGACCTGGGAAGCTCTGAGTTCTCCTGGGGCCATCTGCCCCCCCTTACCTGGATTAAATTGAGGGTGATGGTGATGACCCCTACAGGGTACTGTGCACAGAGGATCTGCCCCTGTTTACCCTAAGCTTCGTGCCTATTGCTTCCCTGGCTTGCTGAGCCCAGATGCATTTGGGGGTGGGGAAGGGGCAGGGGACCCCCAGGAGGCCTCAGTGCCAGCAGTGGGAAGGGGGAGCCATCTTGAGAGAGGGCAGGGGCTTGACTGGATTGCAGCCTCCAGACCCAGCTCCTCCTCTGGTTGTCTTATGGGGGAATGAGTATAGTCTATGTCTTTGGGGGAGAGGGGTGGGTGGGGAGCTGTTTCTAAGGGGTGAACTGTCAGAGAGATGGCAGTGTCAGGCTGCCTATGGAGGAAAGGGGTCTATTTGAGGGAGGCATGGCATGTGCCCTGTGGTGGGAGTAGACAGTCAGCGTCAAAGCAAGGAGGTGTACCAATGTGGGAGGAGGCTTGTGCACATGAACAGTTCAAGATGCCCAGTGGCTGCAGTGTAGGGTCATGTGTCTTGACCGGGGAATCCAAGACTCTCAGGCCTATACTGACAGCTTTGCTGTCTCAGTTGCTGGTGCTGTAGGATGAGCAATGGACTGCTAACCGCAAGATTGGCAGTTCAAACCCACTAGCTGCTCCTCAGAAACCCTATATAGAGTATCTATGAGTCAGAACCAACTCAGTGGCACTTAACAACAACAAACAATGAGGTATAGGCTACCAAAGTAGACATAAGTCTCCTTCCCCATCCCTTCTCCAGTCCCCTTGGACTCAGCCCCTACCAGAACACATAACTCCCAAGTGCATTCTGCCCTTGGGTTTGCTCCTCCCTCCCTCCCTACTCCCCAAACCTTGTCCCACCATTCACCTCTCCCTGTAGATAGAGTTTCTGTCCTCAAGGACACAGGTTGAGATGCCTCCTCCAGGATGCCTTCGCTTTTTAGCTTAGGACTTCCCCTTTTCTGGCTCTGTTGCTGCCTGCCTAGGGTCTTAACTTAATTGTTTGTGTTCTACCTCATGTCCCCTCCCAACACCCACCTTTGGAAGGCAGTGTCAGTGTCATAGGCATCTCTGTGCCCATAGCCCCCAGCGTAGAGCCTGGCACCAAGGAGCCACCGGTACATGTCTGGCAAGAGAATGACCACGAGGAGCTTGTGCGGTGGCTGTAAACACAGGAAATGGTTGGTTGTGTTTTGTGGATGGTGCAGAGACACAGGAGAGTTCTGTGGGCCAGTGTAGGTCAGAAGGACTTCCTGTAGGAGGTGCTCTCTGGGACTTCAGTCTAGGGACCAAGCTCTGTGCCCGGTACCCCTTTCCCATCTCCTGTAATACCCTCCGCAGTCCTGGAGGTGGGCTTTACTGTCTTCTCTTACAGAGATGGGCGCTGAGGTCAGAGTGGAATAGTAAACTACCCAAGGTCACACAGTCAGAAGACTTCAACCCAAGTGTGTCTCTTTCCAGAGCTCCTGCTCTCTTCCTTGAGCTTCTAGAAGTCCCTCAGAGCCTCAGGAACAATATCCTGCAGGCAACTGGGGGCTGGGAGGGGGACACTAAGGGCTTTTGAACAGGGGCTGATACAGATTCCTAGAGACTTGAGTCTCGTAAGTTCATTTCTCAGTGTGGCAGACTGAGGCCTGGAACGGGTTGGGACTCTTCTCAGGTCATCAGTGAGCAGCAGGTCCTGGATGAAGGCCCAGGTCTCCTGCTTGCCCGCTGTATGCGGTTTCTACTGCACCATGCTGCTGGGGACACACTGGTCCTCCCTGAGCCTGGCATCTGGAAGTCAGGAGTCCCGGGAGGCTCAGCCCCAGGCTGGGACACTGGAGAGGGAGCCTCAGGCTTGGGCTTCTGACTTGGGTCCTGGCAGAGACCACCGCAGCATCGGAGGGGTTGTTCAGAGGGGCCTCTGTTTCCTCAGGAGTTGTACTCCTCCTACTCTGTAAAGTTCCCTGGGAAGCCTGTGTGCTGTTTCATCCCTGGGGCTGCCTTTGCCTGTGACCTGCACCGTATTCCCAGTCAACCCCTCCAGGGACCTGATAGGCCACCCCAACTCTTCCAACCTCAGGTTGACAGGGGCTGTGGTTCACCGAAGTATTGGGGCTGGGGCCAGAGCCCATTGTTCCTCCTCACTAAGTTCCACACTTGAATCCTAGGGTGTGCCAGGCCCTGTGTTAGGTAAGGTCAGGGGAGCCATTTGGGAGACATTGGATCTGGCTTCAGATGCACCAGTGCTCACCCAGACCCTGTGTTTCACAGAGCCACGGGGCTGGCATGGTGGGTGGAGTGGGTGGTGGAGAGCCCTGTGCCCCAGGGAACAGGGAAATCCTCACAGGAGGTGGCACTTGATATGGGCCTTCACTGCTGAGGGTGGGATTTGAGAAGTCTTCTGGCAGTGTTTGTTGACTGCAAAGGCAGGAAGGTGCAAATGCACAGTCTGGATTTGGGGGACAGTTTGGGTGTGCCAGGCTGGCACTGAGGGCTCCCAGGGGCTATCAGGGAAGTGGTATGGGTAAGGTAGAGTGGGCCTGATCAGGAAGACTAAAGTGCTTTGCAGTTGCCTTGTGATTCCATCTGTGATGTGTGGAAGCAACCCCATGGTGCTGAGGAGAGGAGCTGGAAAAGACAAGACCCTGATAGGTGCAGGACACCCAAACCAGGGTTGAGACTGAGGGAGGGGCTAGGCTCAGTGCTGGCACCTTGCCAAAGAAGCTGGTCTTGCTCCCACTGGGCAAGCATCATCCTGGGATGAGGGCTTGGACGGGAGGATCCCCCCCCCACCCCTTTGCAGTGTCCCAGGAATGTGGCTATCTGAAGGGCATCCTACTTTCTCTGAGATGCTTCAGCCCCATCTTCCCCAGCCTTGGACTCCTCCGGGAAGCCTTCCGGGCTGTTCTGGGTCTTGTGCTCTTTGCACTTACCGCCCCTGGAGTTGGTCTGCCTGCTTTTGTGTTTCCTGGCTGCCAGCTCCATTGGGAGCTCCCAAGTCGGGCCCAGGCACCTCCCATTCCAGTCTCTAGGCTGAGGGGGAGGAGTACCGAGGATGGGGACTTCCCTTTTCCCTCACGGGCTGGGGCTGCCCAGGGCCAGTCGCTGGACAACTTGGCTACTAAGGGGTGAGATGGTGTGGTGGTGGTGCACCTCCATCTGCTCCGAAGGTCCCACGTGGGGTTGGGGCTAGAAGGAAGGGGCTGGGCTGAGAGGCCCGAAGGAGAGGAGTGTCTTGCTAGGGCCCCAGCTGAGTGTTGGGTGTGCGTATAGGTGGCTCCCCTTTTCCTCCCTCCACCCGCCTGCTCCAGTGAAGCTCCCTCCTCCTCCTTTGTCCTACCGGGATCCCCAGCCCCAGGGACTAGGGAGGGGTGCAGGAGGAGGCGGTGTGAGCCCCGGGATGGGGGGGTGTCCTCACCCCTTCACTGCACGAGCTGGGGGCTGGCAGCTGCCCGCCTCCTGGGCACGAGCCCGTGCCAGCCGCTCCTGGCACAGTTGCTGGCACGCCCGGCAGACTCCCACGGCCACCTGCTCACACCCACCCACGAGCGCTGGCGCGCTGCGGGCCCTTCCGGCTTCCCGGGCCTCCCGGCGCCCCTCCCCCGTCGCTGAGCTCCAGCGCCCCACCCCAGTTTTCAGCTCCTGGAGGACCCCCAGTCTCCCGCTGGCTCTGAGGCCCTGGCCCCTCCCCCGCAACTTGGGGAGCCTGGAGGCTGGCGGACAGGAAGGAGGCCCTCGAGGTAGCTGTGTCTTGGGGGCGAAGAGAGGAAGGACCATGAAGCAGACAGACAGACAGGGTGAGGGCCCCGCCTGCCACCTGGCGCCGCTCCAGCGGGACGATGGCGGGCAGCGCCGTGCCAGGCGGTAATTGCAGACAGACTAAAGAGATGAGACGGTTATTTTTAACTCGCGTTAAGGTAATGAAAGGCGCGGGAGGGGTTTGCGGGTTCGAAAGTTCAGCGGCCCCCAGCCCCCACTTTCTGTGAGTCAGGGACCCCTCTCTGCAACTTCTGAGGATTCCAGCCTCAGGACTGACAGAGCCTGGAGGGGAGGTTGAGGAGCCGCAGGGGCCCTGCCAGACCATGGGGAGGACTGAGAGGCCCGGTTCCGGAGAACCAGACAGGTGCACACCCTATAAAATCCTAGTCACCAGCCCGCAAGGTGGGCATTACCGCCCTTGCTTTCTAGGTGGAAGCCTGCCTTGAAAGAGGAAATGTGCCCTGGGGTCGCATACCTAGCAGTGGCAGACCTGAGAATTGAACCCTTTCTCAGCCCCAAACAAACTCTTTCTATCATTGGCTGGGGTTGGAGAAGAAAGCTGGAGGAAAGGGCTTGGGTTTCCACTTTGTAAGGGTCAGAGCTCTCCTTGGGGCTCACTTTCCCCTGTCTTCAAGTGGCATCTGGTGGCAGTGAAGCTCCTCTGA